TCTAAGGTTGAGTTTCCGAGGTTCAACGGTCAAGGATTCCAGGACTGGTGGTATAATCAATTTTTCCATTGGATAAGGTGTTACCCCATCAAAAAGTTATAGTAGGAACAATTTATTTCGATGACATAGCCCAACAATTTGAATTAATGTTGGTTGTCACTTAAATTACTTTTGTATTCTTGTTTAGTATTTCATGCTTGATCACTATAGAGATAAATATATTGTCTATTCTTGGATGCGGGAGACGAAGAGATAGATAGACCAAAGAATACAAAGTGTTCGATCTCTCTTGAATATCACTTGTTCAGATTTGTGTTCAGGATTGACACCCGAACAAACACCGAGATCAGTTACTAAACAAGACAAAATATAAATGCTCGCCAATTGAGTCTGTCTATCCCCGCTCAACGATGTAGTTAGACAGTCAATTGGAGTAGGCGATTAGAGGTCGGGAGATCATGATCATAAAATCAACCCTGTAAACTAGTAATTTGATAACTGTAGTTATCATTACATAAGATGTGATACATGAAACCTTAAAGCATGCTGCAGCCCTGGAATTTTCCAATCACTGTAAGTAATTTTATTTTTTCATTCGTGCATTCTTAGTAATTAAATATAAATTAAACTCTTTTGACACTCCCGAATAAATAATTAGACCAGTATAATTTAATAAAAATAGTTCATCGAAAAGTCTTTTGGGTTCGATAATCCAGCTCTTTTAGAGCCACTATATTACTTGTGTGTGCAATTGAAAGCAACAATGTCTACATTTACATCATCTTCTAGTTGAATAAGGTTGGTTGTATGTATCTGGTAGTAAAAAATGAAATTTGTAAGAGTTTTGTATCCAATACATAACTATGAAAAAGATACATACTAATTGTGTTTCAATAAATTAGGGTTATGTATCAAAACTAATATTTGAAAATAATATATTGTACATGATAAAATTGTAATGTATCATAAAGGTGAAACAAACGAATTATACATTAATTTAAGAATCAAAATCAACTAGATACATTAAAAGATCTCCTGAAAGCACCAAATAAAAAAAAATCAACAATTTGATCTGCTAAAAGCAAAAAAAAAATATGATGAAGAAATCCTTACACACTTTCTCCTTTACTCTATATCAACTAAGGTTGGGCACCGGACCGGGTTGTACCGGTACAACTTCGGTCCGTTCCGGTACCATTCCGGTCCGTTCCAATCCGGTAGTCTATGAAACGGAATGGGACACCATGAACTGGTACTTGAGACGGAACAGAATCACAATTTCATCCTGGTAATTCCGGTCCGGTTGATCCCGGTATGTTCCGTTCCGGTCTGGTCCGGTTTCGGTCGGGTAATTCGGTTAATTATTTTTTATTAATTAATTTATATTTTATAATTTATATATAGGCATATTTTCAAAAAAAAAATGGATGGGATTGATATTTTTTGTAATTTGTGTCATTGTTTTATCCTTATTTTTATTTTTATTTTTTAAATTACAAACTTAAGTTATTTAAATTACAAGTTATGAGTATAACTTATAACATATTAATAAGTAATAGCTTATAAACTTCAGAAGATTCAAAATTTCAAATCTTGAAAACTTAAGCTCAAAAACTTTAAAACAAAAAAACTTTATTAAACTTAAACTTGCAAATTTAAGAAGTAAAAATTAAAAAAAATATCTTTAAAATAAATTTAAGTAAAATTACATTATAAATTTCTAAACAATTAATTTAAACTTAGAAAAATAAATAAACATTCATATTTTCGTAATTCAAAAAATCAAAATAACTAAAAAAAAAAATTATTATTTTTTGAAATAGCTATATGTGTCGTCCCGTTTATCCTATCCCGTTCCATTCTGATCCATTCCGATTCCGGTTCCATCCCAGTATATAGTGGGACGGGACGGAACCTACTATCCATCCCGGTAATTCCGGTCTGGTTCATCCTGGTATCGGTCAACAAACCGGTCAACCCGTCCCGTTCTAGTCCAGTATCGGTTCGTTTCGATTCGGTGGTTCCGGTTCGATCTGGTGCCCAGCCTTTACTATCCACTCCCGTAGCTCTTTTTCACTTTCAACAATGACATCACCCATAAATCTCGACCCAAATCCCTTACCAGAGCCACCAACAACTCGACCCCCCCCCCCTCCTTTTTGAGTGTTTATTCCACAATCGATTTTGAAGTTGAAGATGCATCCTTCTTCGACTAAATTTGTAGATGAAAAATTAGCTAAAAAAAAATTGATAGTTGATGAAGTGAAAAGAAAAAAATGAATGAAGAAAAAGATAAAAAGAACTACTTCTTCAATAAGTTGCAATCCATAATCGGAAAGAGAAAAGAATTGAAATTTAAAAATAGAGTGATGGAGATAATTGGTGATACCATGAAGTGATTTTAGGCGTGAAAAAAGGAAAAGAATTGTGGGGTGATAGTTTACACTGACGTATCCAGAAAAGTGAGAGAAACTGTAGAAAAGAAGGATTTTTATAATTTTTTGGAATGGTAGGGAATACTAGAAAATATGGTAAAAAAGGTTGTTTAGTTAGGTAATTTTACAATAATATATCGAGCTAACTAATAACAAAAATAGGATAGACGAATAAACCTTGCAACACAATTAAACCTAACATAAAAGCCTAAATTTATAAATTTAAACTACAAAAAAGGGACACTTTCAAATTAGTTACAACAAGTATAGTCATGTATTTATTCACATAAAAATATCCAAAAATCATAAAAAGTATATAGCGAATATACAATATAGCTTGTGAAAAGTCATAAAAAAATATACACGAACTATACAATATAGCTTACCTATACATGAACTATATACTGACTATACATTATGATACACTCAAAAAACTGAATATAGGTTAGCTATAGATGAAGTATATGCTGACTATATATAAAGTATACACTGATTATTCAATCTCGATCAACTCAAAATCACCTCAAAACAATTCCAAATTTTAGATATAAAATCCTCTTGATATTTGAATCTTTTGATATATAATTTGCTCGAAACGATTCACATTGTGGTACATTGATTAAGAAGAGGGAGGAGGAGGAGGAGAGGGAGAGGGAGAGGGAGGGGAGGGGAAGGAGGACAAAGAGGAAGAACAAGGATGAAGACGACGAGGGTCTACAAAAATCTAGTTTTTTTTAACCGAATCGTCTCTTTGGGTAATTGATCCAATAAAAAAAGGAAAATATATAAAATCCCCCCTGAACTTGGCAGCATAACTTAGTTTAACTCTTTAACTTTACGGGTAATTATTTATCCCCCTAATCTTATTGCAAGTGAATTTAATAGCATCTTACATATACAATACCAGTTTCATACTCATTGGGTGAAGTGCACGCGCGCCACCTAAGTGACATCTTGGTGCCACATCGATGACATGTCAGATAATTGAAAAAAATATTTTTTTTCTTTATTTTTACTTTCCCACATCTTTTAAAAAATTTATTTTCACTCACCCTCTTCATTATTTCATTTGGGTCAATTTCTTAACATCCAAAATTTCACATTGATTGATTCATTTTATTTTTCATTGCTTTGTAATTATTCACTTTTACTTCCATCAATACTTATATCAATCACCATACTTTTTTTTTCCAACTAGGTGAAACTATCAACTTATATCAACAATGGCGATTTTAAATTTATGCAAAATCGATATGCTAATTTTTTAGATTTGCTGTTACTTTTCTTGTTTCACTTCTTAATGCATATTCAGGTATAGAATAAGTAACGTTTAAGGTTAGATGAATAATTATTTTTAAAAAAAATTGAATATCAAAAATAAAGAATAAAGAAAATTATGTGGGCCTTGAATGTGATTTATAATTTTTGTTTAACGAAAAAATGTATAGGATGTAGAGTTTGATGAAGGAGAAAGGGGATGGGTCGGGGTTGGGGTAGGATGCGGTGGGAGTTTGAGGAAGAAGAGACAAGCAGGGGAGGTGGGGTTTTGAGAAAGGGGTGGACGAGTTTGAAGAAGAAGAAGAATGGGGTAGGTGGGGGATTTTATATATATATATAATTCTAGTGGGACCATTATTTTTAAAAAAAAAGGATTTACGCCCCTTCAATTTTTTTGTTTTTCTTTTTGCCACGTCATTTGTTAAGGTGGTATTAAATTCACACGAAATGAAATTGGGGGGGGGGGGGGGGTAAATATACACTCATGTAGTTTAAGTGCTAAAGTAAGTTATGCTGTCAAGTTCAGAATTTTTTTATGTATTTTCTAAAAAAAAACTAAAAGGTATTAAAGGTGCACTAAATTTGTGTACTATATAAGACCATTGATCGAAACCATCGTTAAAGGCTTGGTCCGTTGATATATCTTACTTAGTGCGCTACTTTAGTACGTTATATGTAGATCTTATAAAAATGTTATTTCAATCACTTTTTAATTTTGACACGTAATTTCGGTTTCTTACTCCATGTACACTGACTAATCTTCTTTAAAATACATATAGGACAAAGTTACCTTCTATTGGTCACGACAATTTGGTTAAAACAAGTGTACATCAACCTACTTTAATCAAAGAGTTTGACACTTGTTTTGCTTCTTTTGAATGTAAATAAATAAATATAACATTTCCAATTATAGCCTAGGTTATCCACTTGTAGTGGTGGTCTAAAATTGTTGAAACTATTTTGCAGGGATTAAAAATACAGGGGCAAAAATCATCATATCATATAGTATTAGTAAAAGACAACTTTTGTCCTTTTCAAAGTTTTTTCATTTAAAATACCACCTTTTTCTTTTTTTTCCCCTTATAATAATCATCACGAAAACAGGACCTCTCCTCCTCTCCATGATACGTACTACTTCTTTCACCCTTAATTTTTGTTATTTAGGAGTATTAATAATTCTTAATTACTCAATCTAAGCAAATATCTTGATTGTCTTTTATCTTCCTGTATCTCACTCTTTTCCTTTCTTTTTTAAAAAAAAAAAACCATATTCTTGAATCCGTACAGAAAGATTCTGTAAAAGTTGAGTGTGGGGGCAAGAAGAAGAAGATAAAGGTGAGTTCTTTTGGAGATTTAATCAAAAGGGGTTCAATGGAAAACAATAGTAGAAGCAAGTTCAAGAAAATTTGTGTTTTCTGTGGAAGCAACCCTGGCCACAGGAAAGTCTTCAGTGATGCTGCTATTGATTTGGGGAATGAATTGGTTAGTCTTGATTCTTGAATCCTCTCTAATTTCTTATGTTTACTTTCCTAGTTCTTCTTCTTCAGGTTTGGGTCAATTTGGGATTTGTGTATATCTAGTAATCTACAGTTGTGTTGCCATAAAAGTTCCTAACTTTCTTGCAAAATATGTTGATTTGGTACTGTAGGTGTTTCTTCTATTGATCATTTTAATATTGGTTTATGGTACTGTGAATAGCAGGCATTGACTTTCTTAATATCACCATCAATGGAAGTGACTTGGGTTTGAATGTTTCAGATTTAAGTCTTTTTTTTACTTTGAGATAATGCTGTTTGCAGGTAAGTAGGAAAATTGACTTGGTCTATGGTGGTGGAAGTGTTGGATTGATGGGATTGATTTCCCAGAGAGTCCAGGAGGGAGGTTGCCATGTCCTTGGGTAAGTAAAATATTACTATTATTTCAAGTTTACTATGGCAAATTGTATGTAAGGTCTACTTTCTATTTCTGCGGTAGGATTTCGACTTATTCTTGATTGCTTTGAATATGCAGGGTCATCCCGAAAGCTCTTGTGCCTATTGAGGTAAATGGAGATTAACTTGTAACTCAAATTTTGCAATTTGTTTGAGCTGCCATCTACTTGTTCTCTTTTTGTCTTTTTGTATTCTCTTGTTTGAACTGTTTTTTATATTTCTTCCGCTTGAAGTTTTATCTGAGCTACAATCTCTCTTTTTTCCCCAAACTTAGTGCTACTATCTTATATTTTGTTTGGTTCGAGTTTTTCTGTTGCTGAAATGTTGTCACTGATATGAAATGGTTTTGTACGATATCTTTGAAGTGCAAAGTGATGCAAAAGTTAATCTAAGTTTCATCTCACATTGAAATTGGTAAAAGCATGGAAATTTGATACATTGTCCCAAATAACTGCAGATTATGATTCCTTCCTACCTTTATAAAAAAAAAGCTGTTCTTTCATAGAATGCACTTATACTTATAGTTGATTGGAAATGATTGAGTGGTGCAGCATCTGATAGTAAGAAATAGTTTACTTTACTAGTATAACTTTGATTTTGCATTCTGTGATGTTGTTTCGATTGTAATAGTTACACTTTCAACCTGAGTGGCACTGACAGATATCAGGTGAAAGTGTTGGTGATGTAAAGATTGTTTCGGACATGCATGAGCGGAAAGCTGAAATGGCTAGTCAGGCTGATGCCTTTATTGCACTTCCAGGTAAATATACATTTGAGATACATATGCTCCCAGACACTTGTTAAATTGCTTTTATTATGTTTAGGCGGATATGGAACCATGGAGGAAACTCTGGAAATGATAACATGGGCACAACTTGGAATTCACAAAAAACCGGTATCTGTAGCATTACATTCATATAGTTTGATTGTTATCTGCAAGATCTTCACCATCTTAACCTCTTCTTCAGGTTGGTTTGCTAAATGTTGAGGGTTATTATAATTCTTTGCTTGCACTATTTGACAATGGTGTTGAAGAAGGTTTCATTAAGCCAGGGGCTCGTGACATTGTTCTTGCTGATCCTTCAGCCAGAGAGCTTTTAAGCAAGATGGAGGTAATGACTTTACCTAAGTGCATGTATTTCTTTGTTATGTTTAAAACTACACCTGGATTAAATCAGTCTTTGAGGTCGGTACTTTTCTTTCACCAGTATGATTACCATCTTTACTCCAAAGAAAATCTATCCTACACAAAAAGCTTTGTCTGACATAAGGAATTCATACTAATATACTACTATTATCATTTTCTGGAAGTAGTCTTTAAATGTTTCTGCTACTGAGATTTTATCTGCAAAGTAATCTCTTCTTGTGAATTCACCAGTTATAGGTGAAAATAAAGGAATGCTCAGCTATGTGCTATGGGAATGATAACTTTTGTAGCTAGGACTGTACTTTTGGTTCACCTGTTTAATGGAAGATCGAAAATATTCTTACTGTTGGTTTCTGTAGATTTCTCTTGGAGTCAGTTGGTTTATAATGTTAACATGTGAAATGTAGATCCTTATGGCAGGAATTCATTACTAATTGTCCCCCTTCCATTGATATGAGTTCTGTTATTGTTATTTACGCATTTTGCTGATGAGTCTTATCTTGTTCGTCAATTTGCAGCAATATACTCCTTCACATGACCATGTTGCTCCCCATGAAAGCTGGCACATGGAGGAGTTGGCTTATCCAAAGGAAGAGTCTCCATGACAAAACACATTCTCTAATTAGGCCAATTTCCACAATAGAAGTCTGATATGATTCATCATCATTATCTCTTGGATGAGAATTATTCAGGTGGAGCCACATATAATTGCATCATTGTGTCCTCTTGTCATTCTTGCGGTTACATTTAGTACAATCATTGTTGGTGTTTTGCATAAGCTAACATTGATTTATAAATTGGTCAATGGATGCACTGTTTTGTGATTATTTAGGTTGTTACCACCTTTAACACCATTCTTTTCAAAGAAGCACTCAGCACTGCATAACTTGGTGACAGTTAATAAGGTTCAATACTTGATTCTCACCAATGACGGAAGGTTTACAAGGAACCTTCTGTTTCTATATATTTAATTTAGTTCAATAGTAATCTGTATCACTGATAAATAATTTGTATTTCCTTAAAAAGAAACTCCATTTACATAAAAGTTTATGGTCAAAAGGTAACAGCCTTCGTCTTCAAATTTTATGCTCTCAACTATGTGAGGGGAAGCCTGTTAGTGAAGCTGAACTAATGGAACTCTGTCATAGCTCTTGTACTTTCAGTGTGAACCTTTCTTCTCCTAGTCAGAGGTTGCCTTCCTATAAAGTTGCAGCTGCCTTACCTAGCTAGAGTTACCCTTGTGTACTTAAATCCTTGAAGAATGATGAAATTTTATCACGGGATTGTAAAAGCCTCTGAATTGGCTGAGCGGTGCTTGTTTCCTAAAAGCTCTATGCTTGTTACTGTGGCTCTCTGTTTGTTGCTGTGTTTGTACTCAAATTACCCTCAGAGAAACTTAAAACTGTATCAAGAACCTACTCTTAGGTCGTTCATCCGCTTGATTAGGTTTCCATTCTTGTATAACGAAATAAGCTTAATGTCAGTACATTTATGACATGCCTTAGAGACGAGTGACTAGTTTAGTTCTTGAGGTGTTGGAAAGCAAAGAGCTCATCATAGTTGGCTTTTGTTGCCTTGAAGGATGTCTAGTATAATTACTTTTACATTCTCCTAGAAAAGTGACTTAAAGTTAGGGGCAAAATTGCTTGGGACATTGCTAGAAGGAAAGGTACATGTATAATTCAGTAACCTCTTTTAGTACTACAGGGGGGGATAGGGGGTGGTTAATGAGTGTAGAACAAGTGGAAACACCTATGTCCCATGTCTTAAGAAAGCCCAACTCAGCTGTCACATTTTTAGAAAAAGGTTCATGCTTGCAGCCTTGTTATGAAGGAAGTGTGGGGATATTTTTTCTCTTTGGATGACGGTGTCCGGGCTAGCTTTCACGCATCTCGACTAATTCCATGGGATATCTGCCACCTCCTGCCAGCAATAGGTACCAGATAACTCTGTCGACCAAGGCTAGGACAAATGAGAAGAATCACTTAGTGTTTTTGATCTCCGTTGAGTTTTGAACCCGAGACCTCAGAATTCTCAACCACTTCCACTAGGCCATACCCTTTTGGGGTGGGGAACTTCTCCTTACTGGTTTTGCCAACTGCAGCTCACATGCAATTTTCCAACATATGAAGTACTTGAGGGCCCCATTTTCTTTAGAGTACTAATGCTCATGTCACTTTCAGTTGTTCTGTAACATGGATGCTTTATTCAGTGGCATTTTGCTTTGCTACTATTTCCTTTTTGAATTACTTAGGGGCCAGTTGGTACATTTTGAGTTAAAAATGCAATCTTTTTTACTTGTTTCTTTCATTTACTACTGATTTCATAAAACCAATCAACCTTGTCAGATTCAGGGTTTAGACACTCATGATTTTGAGTTGAAAGAGGGTGTCTTGTTATTATTTACATACATATATAGAGTTCAAACTGAAAACTGTTGGTATCTACCGAACACACATTGGATCGCCGCTGTGAGAAAACTCTCACTTGATTAACTTGTTACTCTCTCTGTTCCAATTTATGTTGCACTGTTTGACTTGACATCTTTTTTTGGGTATCACATAAAATGGGACAAGAAAGAAGTATTTAATTATGCATGTGATTGTAATTCCTTTTTGCATACAAGTACTTGTTCAATAGGTTGAAAATCCAACATTTTGCCGCCCTTTAATGTGTTTTTTGGGCCAAAAGTGGAGGGAATCTATTATTATTATGAATAGTCCAAAGCTGTAAGAAAAAAAGATGTTTAGTGCTGGTGAAGTTTGGATCCCAAACAAGCATCCAAAAGCCATTGACTATTCATGAATAAACAAAAGACGCAAGCTAAAGTTGACAGTTGAGTTGACTGACTGTGAAGGTGTAAATGCTGGCAACTTATAAGTTGTAGGTCCCTAATTATTGCTACGAGAATCAAAGGACAATTTAAGTCAGACCCGATTTAAATACTAGTACTACTCCCTCCGTCCACAATTATTTGTCAGGGTAAGGTCATGCACATTCCTCAAGGAAAATTTAATACAAATTGTAATTTGACTAATATAACCCTACTATATCAAGAATACCAAAAGTCCACATAATTTTTCAATTGAACTACACTATCATTAAGGGCAGAATTGGAAAAAAGTGACTAATTATTTCTTAATTGTTTAAATTGACAATTAATCTTGGACATCTATTTTTAGTATACCTGCCAAATAATTGTGGACGGAGGGAGTACTTTCTCTTTGTTTTGCCTTTTTTATTTTTATTATTGGGTGGAATAAATGCATTCTCAATTGCATTTAAATCAACAGAATAAAAATCTATATATCTATATAAAACTGGATAATAAGTATGTGGCATAGCTCATTGGCCAGTATTACTATTTTTCTATTTTTTCATAATTTTGAAGTTTTTTCTGCAGAAACATGAAGGCAGTGAGGTGGCGCTCTCTAAAGCTTGGATTTCTATTTATCTTTTTTTATGATTTTTTTTTGGAATTTTTCCTCATTTTAAAAGACAAAAAATATTAAAGCTTTTACAAAATATTAAAGTATAATATTTAATTCTCTCCTCATTAATACATAATAATAAAAATTGCCGTTGGTTACAGAATTTGAAACAAAATAATTCGCCATTAACTTTTGTTAATACAACCTCATTAATGCATAATAATAAAAATAAATTGGCGTTGCTTACGGAATTTGAAACAACAATTCACCATTAACTTTTCAAATATGTACTAATGTTGTAGAAAAATCGTCTCTTCTCATTTCCCATAATTAACCTTTATTAATAGGTATTAAATTAATTAATGTTGTATTGTAGTAATTTAGTATGCATTATTGGATATTATAAAAACAGGAGAGGCAAATGCATTCAAGCAATTAATCTTTGTGGATCAAAAAGGTAATATTTCTATTTCTCTCACCCAACCTGTTGGAATTATTATTTGGTCTTTTTATTTTATTTTATTTTATTTTTCCTCCTCATTTTTTGCTTTTTGTGATTTTCTTCTTTTAATGTTACGAAAAAATTTGCATTTGATTTTGTATCAGATGATGGTCGCAGCGCTCAACTCTATACGAGTTGAAGTGACGATGAAGAAAATTAGAGAAATAAATAGAAGCTCAATGTTTTAAAGTTTTAGAGAGGATGAAGAGGTGTATGATGATATGTTCAATGTATGCATTTAGCTGATTTTTTTCCTACTTTTGTTTACTCGTCTTTTTAGTTTTGCTTAAATTTTAATTCAGAGTATAGAAAAATTGTCAATCATAACATACTATTACAAACATGCCTTAGAAATAGAAACAAAAGCAGGCGACAAATTTTCTCTTATTCGTTGTAATATAATGTTACGCATAAAATATGATGTTGCACCTTGAGAAATTATTTTCTTTTCTTCATTCTTTTTATTATTCAATTTGTTTAATAATAATTTGTTTACTTGCCTTTTTAGTTTCGCTTAAATTTTATTTTAGAGTATAGAAAAATTGTCAATCATAACATACTATTACAAACATGTCTTAGAAATAGAAACGAAAGCAGGAAACAATTTTTCTCTTATTCGTTGTAATATAATGTTACACATAAAATATGATGTTGCACCTCTTTATGGTTGAGAAATTATTTTCTTTCTTCATTCTTTTTATTATTCAATTTGTTTAATAATAATAATAATAATAATAATAATCTTAATTTTAATATATATATATATATATATATATATATATATATATATATATATATATATATATATATATAAAGTTACGCCAAAAAAAAGTCGTGTGACATGTTCTTATAATGTAAATGTGTTAATTGCTGTAGGAATAAATATCATAATTGTTGTATAGAGGATTTTTCATGGTTACTTATGCATAGTGTGTTTTTCTTTTTCTTTTTCCTTATTTTTAGTAGATCATATCCTGGAAAGGTCCTTTGAAATTTTCTTCTAATTAGGAACAAAAGAAAAAAAAAATTAGAGGTGAACTTCTTGTATAACTTATCAAAACATTATAAGGACGTTTTACTTTATATCGGTCAAAAATATATATATCATTGGTTTATATACTTTTAGTGTTGATTATCATAAGGTTTAGGATGTGTTTAACGGTAATGTTTATTAATCTTGTGGATACAAACCATTATATTTGATGTCATTACTTTCTCCACATTTTTAATTGCTAAAAGGAAGAGACAACGTGTAATGCAAGAATCAAAATTAAAGAAAAGCACAACCAAGTTTAATATAATTCATTTGAAGAACAAAAATCTATTTTAATATTTAAATCTATATATAATAATAAAATTAAGAGTAAAAAAATGATTTGACATTTCTCTTTCATCAAGAAATATAATTATTTTTTCTCCTTTCATTTTTATTTGATTTTTCTCTATTTATTTTCTCATTTATGTGTTAATATATTATAAAAACTAAAAACACCCACTTCTTTTAACTCTATTAATTATATTAAATATACAATGATAAGAAACTCAAAGGTTATTTCTTTAATGTAAAACTTAATGGTCTTTATTTTCATTACCCCAACAAGTATTAACGTAACTTCTAAAATAATTAATGGTCATATTCATGACATTATTGTGTATTTCGTATTGTAATCCTATAAATAGACACATTGTAAAACTTTGTTGAAATGATCACATTAGCCTTTTAAATTATTGTGTTTCCGGTGCTTATTATATACATCCTTTAGTTTGACTCGGAAAAAAAATTTAAGGCTATTAAATAGTGAATGACTTGTGGAAGTGGATGTCAATAAGAGCTCAAAAGATTGTATATTGATGTTATATTTTATGCTATCAATTAATGATTAAGATCGTATAA